CGGTGGGAGAAGGAGCCTGAGGGGGAAAAATACCGGGGCTTCTGGTCCTGGGCAAGGCGACCGGCCCCGCGGTCGTCGTCCTCGTCCTCCTCCTCCTGCTTCTCGCTGAGGGGCCGCCGCTGGCCCAGCCCCAGAAGCTCCCTTGTTTATGAGGCGGGGAGAGGGAGACTTGTGAGGGAGAGGCGCGAACCCCGTCCTAAGGAAGGGGAGCTTCTGGGAGGGGGGAGATGTTCCCCAAAGCTTGTATGGGTCGGGGGAGGGGGTCCTTTCTTGTTCTCATTTGGGGGTAAAGGGAGCCAGCAAGCAGGAGCCGAGGAAGGAAGGGGTGGGGGGACGACGACAGATGATGTCTAGAGACGTCTCTTTCCCGCTCCCTTTCTGTTTATTTTTAAGAGGGTTTGCGGAAATCCTTGGGCTGTTAGGCGCAAGAATTGAGATGCACCTTTCTGGGGAATCATCTTCATCTTAGAACTGGGGATCATCCAGTCCAGCCCCTGTCAAGGAGGCGGGGGTGGGGGATCGAACTTGTAACCAGATGCCTAAACCACGGAGCTGTCCAGCGGTTCTCTAGCAGGGTGTCCTTATGGAGGAGGAAGGGCCAGGGAAGGTGGACCCTTGATAACATCACCGGGATAGAGAAAAAACAATTTGCATGAAATAGCAGACTGTTTTATATCCGCAGACGAAAAACGGAGATTTTGAGCGCACCAGGTGTTGCGTCTGCTGTCCAGTTGCTAACAAAGTTCTGGATGAGCAACTTGGAAGCCCCTTCTTGTTTACCTCAAAAGTGGACTGGACAGCCTTCAAAGTATAAAGGACGGGTAGCTGTGTTTGTCATACAAAATGCACTATAGAGCCAGAGTGGGGATTCAAACTCTAGCCCTCATTCTGCAATCAGGTATGACAATCTACTGATTTATAGCAGCTCATCCTATAGCATTCATTATTCCAGGCAGTCTCCCATTGAAGTACCAACCAGGCATGATTCTGTTTAGCTTCTGAGAACCGACAAGATTGGGTCCATTCAGTGGTATGATTATAGGCAGATGTCCTTAAGCACTCAAACAAAGACTTTCTACTCCAGAAGTAAAAAATGTGGAACTTTAAAGACTGACTGCTATACAGTATTATAATGTGACAAGTCCACTTTCTCAGATATAGGGATGGGACTGCATGGCACATATTCATGCATTTATACATAGCCCCAAATCAGAGATTTTATTTGGGCACAAGTTGTTGATCTGGCAGTGATCTTTGAGCCTCCTGTTGATGTTCAGTTCCCCTCCCAGGAAGCATTTTTTTCAGTAAACAATAATGATTGATGGCAAAATTAATCCCAGGCTATATATAACAAGCAGGAACAACATGGTAATTAAAGTCTCTAGTCACCAATAAGGCTTGTGACTGACACTCCAGAAATGTTCTGTAGGTAGGCAACTCCTGTGCAGATTTCAGTGGTCTTAGATATATTCAACTCTTCTTAGGATCAGGCCACAAGCTGGATGGTGCTTTTTGGTTTCATGCTTATGACGCAGTTGTGGATTCAGCTGTGTCATTTACAGCAGTGGGCCCCAACCTTGGGCCACCAGATGTTCTTATTGTGTCGTTACAGGAGATGCAGATTCTGAGCTTTGATATTGCTCTTCAGTTAAGTAAGCAAGAGTGTATTCGATAGTGTGAAAGTTCTTAATTAAAGCTCTCTAACGGTTTTCCTTATCCTTCTGCCAGTTGGAATTCCTCTTTCTACTCTTTTATCTGTCATTCCTAAATTTACCTTCAGACTATGAAAGGGTGTTTTAAACTAGTAATTTATCTTCTCAGTTCTACCTCTGTAGTAGTTATGTAGAAACTGGACACAAAAGTTCGTTGAGAATTTTGATTATAACCTGTATTCTCATAATATCAGCAGAGTAAGGAGATATTGGTTAGCAGAGATACTTATGACACTGTGACAGTGAGAGAGTAAAACCAACAACTTAGTCTATTTACATATACTGTATACATAGAGAATAGACATTCCTCTGGCAGCAGAACATGACATGAAGCAACACACAGCATAGGAGAAAGTGATCTGACTTACAGCAGATAAAGACATTCATTTTACACATGACTTATGTACACTTCTGTGACCAATCTGAAAATACATTACTTCATTTTCTGTGGCACCAGGTTTCATCCTGTACACAGCTGTACAACATTAAATCTAAATCCTTGATACCCACACCTGAATACAATCAGTAGTCACTTAGGTAAAATCAGCCATTTTACATTTAACTTTGTTATGCATCCTTCAGTCTTGAGAGCCTATGGTTGCATGCTTTGCATGGAGGGAACAGTGTCTAGTGTGGCTGAGAAGACCAATTTGAGAGTGACCATCCCTTCCACCCTGAAGACAAATCCAATCTGTCCCCTGTCCAGCTCCCTGGTTTTGCTGCTTTCGTGACTGCCTCTGCCTCAGCCTGCTGGACAAGGGTCTCTTCAAATTGGGAGAGGCAGTGATGCACCGCCTGCCTCCAGGCTGAACTCTCAGAGGTCAGGATTTCCTATCTGTTGAGGTCCATTCCTAAGGCCTTCAGATCCTGCTTGCAGATCTCCTTGTCATTTAACTATACAACATTAATATTTAATACATTCTCATATCTAAATCTCAACAAAGTTTTTGTAATGCTCAATTTCAGGGGTTACTCAATGAAACTGATTAGCAGCAAATTCAGGAAGGCAGAAGGAAGTACTTCACAGAAGATAAAATTTCATGTGTGGGATTTGTAGCCACCAACTTGCAATGATCGTCATTGGCTTGCCTGATTCCAAAAGGTAGTAACACATGTATTAGTTATGTATCATCATAAAAGTATATTTATGACTATACACAATGAATAGGTTCAGTGACAGCAGGCGATGAAGTACTAGTTGTCTATCAGCAACTGCTGATAGACTCTTCACGCAGAGCCAGCAAACATTACTCTCTTTTTTTGTCTCCCAGAATCCCTCAGGCGGCAAGGAATTCTGGGAGTGGTAGTCCACAAAATTAACATTTCCAAACCTTGCTGTTACCTGAACACCCTGTCTTTTCCAGTCTCAGTCCCATTGATTCATTAGCGTTAAACATTAAACATTGAATAATAAATGTTACTGCTTACTGATTAAACTGATCAAAGCATACAGACCTAAAAACAGAGATCAAATGTGGGGCACATTTTCCTGCTTCCTCATCTCTTACTGATTGCAAATGGTCACCCGTTCGCGTCACACATCTCGGGTTACAAGATTGTAGATGACAGCTGAAGGTGCTCACTCTTCGATTTCATTTCTCTTTTCTACTACCCTGACACAATTCTTTCTGACTGCTCCAAGGCATGGTTATGTAATTATTCTTCTGTTATGAGCAGCTCCCATGAGACAAAGTCACTCTTCATGAAAACAGAGCAAGGCAAAGTTGCTAATACTATCTCTGTGTTTTTAATGATATATCTGTTACAGCTGTATTTTGTTCTTCCTCTTAGAAGCCAAGAGTTGCTTTTATCCTAATGCCAACAGGAAGGTAGGTCAGACTCAGGAAAAAGAAGCAACGCAATCAAGGTCACTAGGTGAGCTTCAAAACTTGAATGACTTGACTCTTCCACATCAGAGCTCACTAGTTCAGT